CTCGTAATTTTGAGATAATATCTCATAATTATGAGATCTTTTCTCGTAATTTTGAGATAATATCTCATAATTATGAGATCTTTTCTCGTAATTTTGAGATATCTCATAATTATGAGATCCTGATCTCGTAATTATGATATCTTATTTTATAATTATGAGATCTTTTCTCGTAATTTTGAAATAATATCTCATAATTGTGAGATAAAATGTCATAATTACGAGATCAGGATCTCATAATTACGAGAAAATATCTCATAATAATGAGATCCTGATCTCATAATTATGACATCTTGTCTCATAATTATGAGATCTTTTCTCGTAACTTTGAGATAATATCTCATAATTATGAGATCCTGATCTCGTAATTATGAAATCTTATTTTATAATTATGAGATCTTCTCGTAATTTTGAGATAATATCTCATAATTATGAGATAAAATGTCATAATTACGAGATCAGGATCTCATAATTATGAGATATCTCATAATTACGAGAAAAGATCTCATAATTATGAGATCCTGATCTCATAATTATGTGATCACGAGTTAAATTTTTTAATAGGTGAATGCAATGCTCTTCCGTATATTTGTTTCAACACAAAACAAATTCAAATTAAACAGTCCAGTTTACTCTCTCCCAACCATCAAAACAAAACAAAACAAAAAGATTGAAAGAAAACATCTAACATGCTTTTATCATGCAATGAGGAAAGCAGCTGCCATATCCCAAACAACTGTGGCAAGTAAATGAAACTGTTTTATTGTTGGAAGAAGAGCATTCACTGTCTGTACTCTCTTTAAATGTCTTAAGATGACAGCCTGCTGCATTAAAAAAGGCTCAGTTTGTCAGGAAGTGCTTTTTAAATCAAAATGTACCTGAAAAAAATGTACCTGATCATTTAAATTCATCAGTATTCTCTCTATTTGAAATTAGATAAACACCACACTGGGTGGATTTTATTCCAAATATTTCTATTAGAAATTTAATTAAATTATTGCTTCAAAATCAAAAACACAATTATATTGAATCTAATTTAAATAATACATCAAGTAAAATATACATTGCCATAGAATCATTTTTACAGWGTAAAGAAAAAATTAAATAACTAAAAATTGATATGTTGATTTTTTTTGAAAAAGTCTTACTTGCTCAACTAATCAATAGTTTTTAAACAACAGACTTTGATGCACAATAAAGTTGAAGTAAAGTATCCAATTTTTATATTACGTAAATGCTACATCAATTTTGTGCATATACCATTAATCTTTTACTGTAGGCCTTTATTACCTTTGTGTATTTCAGTCTATTTTAATATTTGTTTTAATTTGAACTTTCTCATTTATTAGTAGAATTCAAACTAACATTTAACTTCTGCACTTTTTCTTTTTTCTGTCTGTTTCAGGCAGGGCACAGACACTACCACCCCAGTTGTGCAAGATGCAACCGATGTGACAAAATGTTCACAGAGGGAGAAGAAATGTATCTGCAAGGTCAGTTAGGCTCTCTTCCACAATTCTGTGTCAGTTGTGTAAAKATATTGAACATTTTTACATTTGGCAAAAATTGTTTATTTTCTGTAAAATAGAAAGTAATGTAGCTGCTTTCTCAGGAATGACTATTTGGCATCCAAACTGCCGAGACAGCAGCAGAACAGAAGACAGTTACCGGGTAAGACTTCTGTGACTCAAAGCAATGTTTTCATGCAGTTTAAGAACAGAATAGTTTTTTGGTTTAGAAGTTGATATTAAGCAGAATAATTTCACGTTGTCTTCCATCTCAGGTCAGCAGGTCAAAGACGCCCTGTCTTGATTTCTATTTTCCTCCACATGAACTGAAGGTTAAGACTGTGTGCAGAGCTGCGTTTTGCGTTGATATAGTTTAGATTTTTTGATGTGGGATTCTGTTRAACAAAAATAAACARTATTTTACCTGTTGTAGATTGCTCTTTAAATGATGGAGAAATATAGATTAGCTCTTTGCATGTTGACAAGCTAATGGCTAGGTCCTGGGACTTAAACCAAAGTGGATTTGTGCCATACTGAAATGGTTTTAAAGCAGTTCATGCAAATTCATTGTTTTATTATAAACCCATACATCCATGATACCAAGCATATGCACTGAAACAGAGCTAAAGGATGTTGTCTTGTTTGGATATTTAGATTAAACATTTGYTGGATAATTTTTATGGAAAAATGCAATGATAATGCTAATCTGGTCACTTTTTGGCAGGTTTTAAGTGGTTTTAAAAGTTTGCACGCAAAAATACGGGTAACACTTTCTTTTACGGTACCCTCATTACCATGTAATTACGTGGTAATTAGGGTACGATTTAACTATGTAATTAATTTTCTGCAGTAATGTAGCACTTACCTGGTAATGTATTACAATTGACTATGTAACACCCAAATAAGCAGTAGGTAATTTGGACAGTTTCAAAGTTATATTTTTATAGCAATTAACCACTAACCCCAAAATTTAGTTGCATTCTTTTCGTTATATAGTGCTGAGTTACTGTTGAATAGTAATTTGATTGTAGTTACCCAATAAAGGTAGTTTTACTGACAGTAGTTTTTTGTACCGTAATTACCACGTAATACACAGGAATAAGGTAGTAATTACATTTAATTGCATTTTTTATTACCTTGTAATTACATGGTAATAAGGGTACCGTAAAAGAAAGTGTTAGTCCCAGCCCAGTAACTAAATGGCTTTTGGTCCTTTTTAAACTAGTTGTTTGCTCGTAAATTCCATTAGAAACAAACTTTTATTTCTTCAAACTGAGGTCATTCAAAGAGCTTTCTACAACAGGTAAGATGTTATTTGTTCATTATCTTTCCATAGAATCCCACTATAAAGGATCTGAACTATCGTTTTTGAGTTATGGTCACATAAATTGAGTTTAATCATGCTTGATTAACTCACATGACAAAATGACAATTTGCTTACCCGGATGTCCAACTGAGGCTGTGTGCACCAGCATGTCATCAAACTGCACATTCCTTACTCGTTACAATTTAACATGCCCTCTTGCTTATGTTGTAAATCTTATAGGTTGATTAAGATGAGAGAATGGAAAATATTTTATTAAGATGAAATTCATTTATTTATTTATTTTTGGTTTTCAGCCCAACMGGTCATCATCTGAAAGCTCCCACTCCAGGCCAGGCTCGTGCACTCCAGGCAGTCCTGGTCGAACCATCTGTGTAAGTTTTGTTTTGTGCATGTTCTCTGACGTAGACTGCACTTTTTATGTTTCAATCAAATGTTTTCATTCATGCAGGACAATCACATGGATGAGTCACTTGTGCAGGATCTGTCTTTTTGACAATGAGGACTTATTGTTTGAAATAATTACATTATTACTTYTAAAGATAACCTTGACTGATTGGAACTAGTTTCATTTTGATTGAGGAAATGTAATTTCRATTTGGGATATTTACATTTTCTCTRTTTATCTAATGATRCACAAAAAGTCTATTTGATGGGCTCAGATTGAGTTTAATCAAAAACTGGTGCCTTAGTTTCCTTTCCTCTCACCTCCTATCATCCATGATGAAATGTAATAAACTTTACCTCAAAACATCACATTAAGCCAAAAACATTGAATTCTTTCTAACTAAAAAGCGTTCATATAAACTTGTAAATCTGGTACTTCCTGTGCCAAAGTCAGACAATGGAGATGTTTTGAGGGTTAAAGTTTCATAAGTTTTTAGTCTCTTACCTAAAACTGAACCAAACCCTTTGCTCCCTTTCTTTCCCCCCCCCCCCCCCATCCCGTCCTCCTCAGGCAAAAGTAGATAACGAGATCATTGATTATCGAGACTTAGCAGCAATTCCCAGAGTCAAGGCTATATTTGATATAGAGCATCCCGACATGATATCTTACACGTGTTCGAACTTCAGCTCCTCTGCTTTGGATGGAAAAGKCAACAGAGAGAACAGGCTGAGCCCCACAGAGGTAACTGTGACAGACTGCTTTCTTCTTTCAGTGTTTCCTCTTGGTTTGATTGAGTCAAACTATTAAAACCTGTTTTTTGTCTTCTAGCTGAAAACGCTTGAGCCAAAAGCCTCTTGTAAAGCGGGTTGCAAAAGTGTTCACCCCTTCGTTGGTAGCAGCTCAAATACATTTCAAAGTACCTTCAGCTTCAGGAACCACATCATTTGTTAGATTAGATCTACCTACCTATCTACCCATGAACACCAGATTAACACCTCCAAGAGGAGACAGCATGAAGCCCAAGGAACATGCCACACAGGTCAGAAACAAYGTTGTGGTGTACAGTAGTTCAGGTCAAAGTTGGGCTATAAAAAAAGTACCCCAAACCCCAAAAATCTGAAAGAACATTCATAAATCTATTATTAGATGATGGAAAAATGATTTAGCAAACTTGCTATGAGAGAGGGTCTTCCACCCTCTTCCATCTCTCATCATATTGCGAACGTCATCCCTGCAGTGAAGCATGGTGGCGGCAGCATCATGTTGCAAAGATGTTTTTCATAAGCAGAGACTTGAAAACTGATCAGAGCTGTAGGAAGTACTCAGACCCACTCAAGCATCCAGAGATTTGAGACTAGGCTGGAGGTTCACCTGACCCTAAACATGCTGAAGCAACACTACAGTGGACAAACAGTGAAATGTCCCAGAGTTCAATCGAAATAAGGATCTTTGGTTTGATTTATACGTAGATAATTGTAAACAAGAACCCATCCATTACGAAGGAGCTGGAGCAGTTTKGTCATGACAAATGGACAAACCAAGCTTGTGAAGGTCATCTTGAAAGGTGGTTCTAGAAAGTTTTGACTTGTGTGAGAAAGCAGGCCCCACTTTTTTCCCCTTCATTACTCATAGGTTTATTTAGTCAAAAAACCACTTAAGTCATGATAAAAATTCCACAACCAAAATCCAGAATGTTAATGCGGGGGTGAATACTTTTGCAACCTACTACAGGAGGACACACACAAAAAAACCTCTTCAAAGGGGACATATTGCAAATCCACTTTTTGTCCCTCAAACACATTTTGTTGTGTATGTAGGAGTGCAGAAAAGTTGTGTAGTCATCTTTATATCTCTGTTTGAGTCATATTTTTCAATCCAGTCACTTTTATTAATTCCTTGTCAAGTTTTTTGAACAACGATATAATATTTGCTGTGGAGCTGCTAAACAAGGTCACGTACATAGAGGTTTTGCAGGTTTGTCGTCTTCATTCTCCTGTCCGGGTCAGACTCTGGCTCCAACGTGTGAGGTTGGATGGACGAGTCTTCTGTTGTTGACATCTTTTAATCCATTTGTAAACAAAAAAGTTTTTGCGCTGCCGCTACATAATCCCATGTCTGCTATCAAACTGATGGCCGAACAGGGTTGTGAGGGGTTTTGCGTGAAGTGCCTTTTTTTGCATTTAAACAGACAGCACCAAATCGACTTGATTTGAGACACACCTCAGAAAAGAAGTGAAAAATGGACTTGTGGAGCTACAGTAAGGAGGAATTCAGACCAAAGCACTGCAGTTCCACTTTATATAAACCCCAACCGAATGATTTAAATGTGAAAGGGAAAGATTTAAAAGCATGATATGTTCTCTTAATTTGCATTATGGACAGTGACGTAATAAGACGTACCGTATTTATTCAAGTATAATACGTAAATTTAATCCATAAAATCATCCATAAAGTTGGGAAGTAGTACTATACTCGGATAAATATTTTTACTTATGTATTTTAACCGGCTTCATTCACAAAATGCCTGAGTCCGGAAATGAGACTGCATCGTAAAAAGCAGCTGAAGCGAGCTTACATGTGACACACCTTCGTGCTTCAGAGCGAGATAATAACAGGTCCAGGCAGGCGACATGATGTGACAAAAGGGGGGGGAAAGTAGTCCTGCACCTTAGTAATGATAACGAACTAATGACAGCGTGTGACCGAACCGCTCCTCGAACAACAACAAACACATGTTTGTCTGTAATGGCTGCCGTCTACCGGTGTTCTGAAAAAGTTTGTATCCCTGACAAAAGTTTCCCCACCAGAGGAGGTGCACGCGAGTAGGAAGTAATCTGCTTTTCCCCCAGAAGATGGCCCAAATCTCATGTAAACTCTCTGACTTTTGTGTTGGCGCCTCCTGGTGGACTATGTGTAAAATGCCAGAATTCATATGATGCTGCTACAGCTGAAATATATTTGTTAGTACATATGATGTTAAAATAAAATGAACAGTGCAATGATCATTTTACTGATATGTATAAAGACTGCAAAGGCTGAAAAATCTTGAAGTCTGTATAAAATTGGAGGTAGCTTGAGGATTAAAAATTTTATGCCTTTTAAGTTAAAAAAGGGAGGGTCGTATTATACATGACATCGTATTATACATGAATAAAAACGGTAATTAGAAGTGTCAAAACTAACAAAATCAGGGCTGACTTGCAGAAAATTTATTGCTTAATTCAAAATTTTGATACAGAACGGACTTTTTGTCAAACAATGTTGTGTGTTGATGTTATGTATGCTTGGTCAGTTTTAATTTTTGTGTTGGTTTTTCCTGTGTCTCTCTGATTTAGTTGGCAAAAAATGCATCGGAACCCCCCGAGGTAAATAAAACCTGCTCATTCAGTCCCAGTTTAAATCAGCTGGCTGTGGTTTTTCATTCTGTTTTTTTTTTTTTTCTGTTTATTTGTTTTTGCTCTTCCTCTTCCAAGGCAAGTTTTGACATCAGAACACAGATTCCAAAATCTGTGAGTCATGGATCTTTTGGAGGTCAAACCATGAGTTATCGTCACAGCTACACTCCCACTCTCTCCAGATCACCACAACACTTCCACCGACCAGGTAAACAGAGCACAGAAACACCCCTAATGATATCCTCTACCACATTTCCTCCTGTTACTTATTTGAAAACCTTCTCCTTCACCTTTGTAAAATAAAAAGGGTTGGTTCTGTCACCCACTTTGCTTCCTGAAAACAAAATTGAYACCCTCACCATGCCTCCTTTTTGTCACCACTTTCTCTCTAAAACCAAAGGTAAGATACCTCTGCAACCCCACCCCCTCCTTAGTCTGTGTTTAACAGTGTTAAGTCTGCAGCACCCAAACAACTAACCAGCTCAATGATCACCTCAGCAAGAAAAAGGAGATGTAGATCTTGTCTTTAGATCAAACTGAGCCATCTAGTGGTCAGAGCTCAGAAGGCTGTTGGTTATAAATGCTTGCTTGCTGTTTTTTTTAATCTATATTTGATTCAGTAAATGATTAATTATCACTTTTTCCAGTTTCCTCTCACACATTTCACTATTTATTAACAGCAATTGTTTGTATATTGAGTGGAGTGTGCATCGATCACTAATCCCTGGAATAATCCGTTTGGGTTCATGCATACAGGTGAACTGAGATGATATTTTATGATATTTTATTTATTCAAAGTCAGCCTACAAACTCTAAGGCATCTAAGGCTGTTTTTATTCCAGTAAAGTGCCCTTAAAGCACCAGTTCAACCTCTTTAAAGTGGTGTTCTCTGGAATGTTATAAACAAATAATTAGGGATGCATGATGTATCGGCATCAACATCTGTATCAGCCAGTATTGGTCATTTTTTTAGAATATTATCGGCCCGATATGTCAAACTGGGCCAATATTAATGTCTGATATTGATTTCCCACTTTTTTAGCTTTGTGTTTCTGTTTTGGGAGGGGAGATGGTTGGTTGAACAGCATCTGTTTGATCATGATAGCGATACTGATGCTGCGCAGCCAGGAATAACAGAAGTAGGAAGTCATGTCAGAGGTCTGGTTGTTTATTTTTGATATCAAAAAAAAAAAGACCCAAATGTGTTTATGTGTATATGTACTGTATATACATAATATGTGTGTTTGTGTAATATCGTTACATATTGGTTATCGACCATAATAGCAATAATTATATCAGATATTGAAATCGGCTGAAATTTTCATATCTATGCATCCCTACAAGTAATATCTTATGTTTTAGATGACTTTTTGATCAGCCTCAGTTTGAAGAAGTAGAGTTTAATGTTCATAAAATAGTGCTAAGTGCTATGATTTATTTAAAAGTTTAGACCAGCCATTAGCTCATTAATCTGGTCCAAACTTTTCCACGGAGTAAAAAAAATAACTATTGCTTTAATAAAAGGTAATTGCAGCGATTCCTATTCCAGCATGAACATTTTGGTTTGTATTTGAATTCAAATTTAAACACAGAGAAAGTTCTGTCATTGATGTAAACAATTTGGGAGTTCTTCACCTCTATTTAATTGTTCTTGTGCGACAAATTTTCTGCTAACTCTGCTTTTATCCTTTCAGCAGATGAAGGCTTTGATTTGTACAAGAGGCCTCCAATTTATAAAAAGCAAGGTATGCTTTCTGTTAAACTTTCTATTCTGTTTTTTTATTCTACATTTGTAGAATATAGTTTCTATTGTATAGTTTTGTGTCTAATAGWGGTTCTTGTTCTTTCTTTTGATAATGACAAGTAAAGCAGTTGAAGTTCAGGCGATCGTTTGAATCAGTTTGAATGTAAAACTCATGTTTGATAAAAACTTGAACTCAAAGGAAATGATTAATTGAAATGCTCAGCACACAAACTGTTGGTGATGTATTTTCCTCAATCTAATCTATTTTGTGTAATCAGAYTGTTTCATTGCTCTTTAGACTCTCTGGTTAAATGTCTATCATATGTAGACTTTTATGTTAATACACATTTATTTAAAAATCTMTTCTCTGCCCGGTTGCATCAGACTTGTCTAGTTACATGACTTTTTGATTTCAGTAACTTTTGTTTGAATTTATTTTGAGGTGCTTTGTTGATGTGTTTATTTTGTATAAATGTGTTTTACTGGTTGTATTGATTTGACTGTTTTTTTCTTTATAACAGGTGTTTCCTGCAAATTAAATAATTGTGTTTCAATGAGACTAACTTGTATGAAGAAAGGAAATGAATGAATGTTTGTAAGTCATCTCATAACGAGCTGATCTGCTGTCTGTCACTTTGTCACAGATTCAAATTCATCTACATCCCAAATTTTGCCAGAATATGGTCACAMCTTCTTACATTTGGTAAGATCAACACTTACCTGTTCGAACTTTACTGTTTTAGTGGCATTTATTTGAGAAATGATGTTAGTGGTATTTCTTTTTACCTCGAACATCTGAATTAAACTAATAAAACACCTTTTTTTCATTTTCTGTTTTTTAAGCCTCAGTCAGCTGATTTCTGCACCACCAWCAGTGAAAGATTCAGTAAGTCTGCAGACTTATTTCATCTTTTCTTTTGCTTTAATGTTGGAATTTCTAACTATTTAAAGATGGTGCATAAGTTTGAAGCTAATGATATGATTTGATTTCTTYCTTTCTGCTCATCAGGCTTCAAGGTAATGGGACTCCTGCTTCTTTCATCAGATACTTTATCATCCCATTGTGTGCATCTGCCTGTTTTCTCTCATATCCCGCTTTTACTTTATTACATCAAATGTATTAAATGCACAAATTACAGAATATTAATGACAGCCTTTAAAAGCTTTTCACAAAACATTACTAAGTTATTTCCTGAGTCAGACGCTGCAGAAAAAAATCACCATAATATCAGCAAGACACAAAACATTATTTCACTCTCGCATGTTCTCAGCAAACTTTAATTATTCTAATCTCCCCGCTTGCCTTTGCAGTGATTAGTCCTGATAATGTTTTGCCTTTTTGCACGTTTGCTTCATTGTGTAGCTCACCCAYGACGATCAGCTTCCATTAACACGAATGGACAGAGGAGTTTCTATGCCTAATTTGGTGGAGATAAAAGCAAGTATCATTRATGTCTTTTATGTTGTACGGCTTTTCTGGGTAAACATAATTTCAGCAGCAGAGAGCAATGACACAAACAGTTCATGAGCCCCGATGAATCATCCTGCTTGGCATGATGCGAGTTTTTGATAAGACTAGAGAACTTTTACCAAAGCTCTGCAGTATTTTATTTTTCACATTTCRTAATTCTCAAACTGTGAAGCTGCTGATAAAGAGAGATTGTGTAAAAACGTTATTTCTCATGTGGACAATGGTTTTTATCTTTAGATAATAAATGTCTGATTGGTAATTTATTGGGTTTTTGTGACCTGCTTTAGTGTCTTTATCACATGACTTTGCAAAAATGTTAAATTGTTGCCAATCCATTTCTGTTCCATGAAGGTGTATCCTTATGAAATGCTCCAAGTTACAAACAGAGGACGAGTGAAGCTTCCCAAAGATGTTGACAGAGCACGACTCGAGGTATGGCAAAAACATTATTTCCTTTTTTATGATAAAGTTTTTTACTTTTGTATRTAACAATTAGTCTCACGTCTACCGACATAGGTGCAAATGTGAGTAAAGATTTATGAGACATGTAGACTAAACCTGTTGAATATGTGACAAAATGTTTGTTTTCCTTTCTTCTTGCAGCGTCACTTATCCCCGGATTCTTTCTTYGAAATCTTTGGGATGGATATCCAAGAATTTGACAAACTTCCACTTTGGAAACGTAACGACATGAAGAAAAAAGCAGATCTCTTCTGAAGGCAGCCAGATGTGTGGTTGATTCCTTAGTAAAAATGCAGTTCTACCCTTTCAGGCTTCAAGTTCATTGCATTTGTCACAAAAAAGAGACAAATCATTAGTCTGAGAAAAGAACAGATGTCCTGTAGGATAAGTAATACATTTTGGTGAAGCTTAATGAAGAACTTTATGAACATGAGAACTCAGTGCAGTTTTTTTTTCATAGATTATGTTCATATTGAACAATTCTCAGCAAAAAAAAAAGACACGTCATGCAATTCATTTATTGAAGCGTTGTATTATGTTTCTAGCTTATATTTTATTCACTAGTGTTTCTAACATCCTAATTRTAATTCTTTCAAAGTCATATTAAAACAATAGTTCAGGTCTTTTAAACTTGCAGAAAGGCATGATTAATAAACATCTTACCTGTCATAAATAGCTGTTTGAATCCCCTCAGTTTGGAGTAAAAGTTCTGACAGTATTGACAGGAATGAATGGATGGTACTTTTTGTTGTTATTTTCTCAAGAAACTTTAACATGATAAATCACAAATGTAAGAACATTTTCAAGACTTGTGTATTATTTATGTGTTTAATCATATCCCTGAAGAAATTATTTGTTTTGTGTTTTACACAGAGGTATGTTACCTTTCTGCTTCACCACCACTTCCATTGCACTAAATAAAACTGTTTCTAAGCTGAGCAAATGCGTTTCATTTACATAGTCAGTGAARCACATATTTTTGCAAACATACATCCCATTTTAAGTAAAACTACACAGAAGAGGAAAACAAGCTAACTGAGATGTTATTGTTTCTAAAAACACCAAATAACACTAATTAGGATCTTCAATATCAGATATATATTTTTTCATTTACTTTGGATCTAATGAGTGTGAAATATTAGACCCAGCTCTTTGAATTTGGACCAAAAGTGGGCGCCCTGGAACCTGAAACTGCACATGTCAGCAATGCAGCTGCTGCTGACTGAGAATAGAATAGAATAGAATAGAATAGAATAGAATAGAATAGAATAGAATAGAATAGAATAGAAT